TATTCCAAGGAATGTGTGTAAGAAGAACTGCACAGTGCAGAGCTGCACATCACATTGGTTCTCAGATCATAATCCTTCAAGCATTTTGCAAAATACTTTGAGATTCAGCACTTAAAAAACAACCTGTATCACCTTCATTATTGCAGTCCTGCTAGCTAAAAAAAACCACCTTTCCTATATGAATCATACTCCTCTCAGTTAATTTAGAGCTTTTAACTCATTGGAACAAAAGGGACTTTTCCTGTGGATGAAATAGGACACAGGCTGTTCAGTGAATTGCTACCAGGTGCACATTACTAACCTGGGGAAACACTCACAATTAGTCTGTCTTGGTTTACTTCACATGATAAACAAAGAAAATTTCACTATAAAATATCAAGAGCTGATTTGACATAGCAGTAAAAATTCTGCCACCTTCATTCCACTTGAGAAGAAACCCAAGCTGCAACCAAACTAATTAAAATCACAGAAGTAGCTACTAATACTATGAGATAGAATTGGACTGACAATTTTTCATATCATACATTGCATCACACATAGTCAGTCTTGTCCTGCACAAAGCACATGCCCAGGCTGTATAACACCAAGGAAATTCAAAGTGTTAATGCACAGATCCCAAATACTGAATTACTAATTCCCATGGATGAGAGCTGTGGAGCGCCTGGGTCTCCTGCTCACCTAAATGGGAGCTGCTACTTGCTCAGCCTCTTAAGAACTTTCCCCTGTGTGATTTGGTAAGAGCCTTAATTTTTAGACCTCCAAACACATGTAAAATTAAGAGCAGAAAAAGCCTCATCCCTATTTTCAGCTACCATAGCAAATTCATGAAGACATGCCACTTGCACTCTTGCTTTCCTTAACTCCTCCAATACTGCATAATATTCCCTTCCCAGACCAAACATTTGGATATAATTAATGAAGCAGACCTTTAATAAGTGAAACCCTGGCTTGCCTAAAAACAATAAATCCAATAACAACTGGTTGCACTGGGACCATATGCAGAACATACTGAAAATTAACATGCAACACATAAAGGCAAAGAACAACCTAATTGAATACACGTGGGATCAGGACCCTAAGTGAGGCTGAAACACGAACTATTAAATCTTTATTCATCCTGGCTTGACTATCAAAACTGAATTCATTCAGCAGCAGCCCTCGCTAGGATTTCACTGCTCAATATATTTCTATCACTATGCAGTTTGAGCAATATTTTTGATCAATTCCTACAATCAACATTTGAACGTGGTGGGTCATTATTTCTCTGCTGCAAAACGACTTCTGTAAACCTGGTTAATCAATCTGCCTGGTTTAAGTTACTGCACAACTCACGCAGTCAGCTGCGCAAATCACAGGAGCTGGAAGGCAGCTTCTGGAGAGGCTTGGCTGGCATCGCCACTTGCGCAAACTCCTCGCCAGGAGCCAATTCAGGTTAATTGCAGCAAGGGGAATTGTTAGGTGCCCTCTGCTAGCAGATGCCTCATTTCATTAGCCTGGGTGACTTCAAAGCCCTGGTCCTTCCTGAGACTCCTCCGCTGACACCACCTCCTCATGCAGAGCAGTGGCAGTTAAATTGTTTACTCCTGCTTGAGACGGTGGAAAATTACCGATGTGCCTTCTCAGGGTCACCTCGCTTGCTAGGAAAGTTTTGATAATTAGAGACAAGACTGTTTGCCCTTCTCCGTTATCCTGGCAACTGCAGACGAGTTATGTTAAAATGACTGGATCTTGTTTTCTCCAGTGAAGTGGCATCCCATCACACCAGCTCTGTATGCGGTGTGATTTCTGCTTGCAGCAGCAGTCAGTACCTGCGAAAAGTGGGAGACTGTCCTGGAGAAATGGAGAAAACTAATGAGGGGAAAGCAATGGGGCATCTGGGTATCTTCATTAATGAGTCCTATAAACTGTGGATCTCCAGCCTCAATTGGATTCATTCTCTTACTCTACCGATTTCTTTAATGTTGATTACTGCAGCAGCTCAGCATTTAAGTACATACAAATGAGAACAAAACCAAACCAGGGGAGAATAAAACATCACAGTGCTGCAAGTTTCACCTGCTTTTGAGCACATGAAACATCAAAGCGGAGGCCACTGAGCCAGGAAAACTGCTGCTGAACAAAAGGATGGTTGTCTCCACAGTGCAGCCTGCAGAAAGCACCTGGATGGGATGCCAAGTCTCCTTGGACACGGTTTCGGCCGGCAGGGAGGCTGGATGTACTAACTCACTGTGGCTGCGAGGGAAAGGAACGTGCTAAGGAAAGATGGAGAAGGGGAAAAAGCACAACATCGCAGAGTGATTCATGTTGGGACCTGAGGGAGGACAAAGCCCTGCACTTCAGCACGAATGTAAGAGACGGAAGATGCATGTTCCTAACCCATTTTGGTGTGCCTACCTGATTCACTTTTCTAGGATATTCCACTTCTAAGAATACACCAAAACCTCCATCTGTGGGTAAGCATGGTAAAAAAAAAAAACAAAACACACCATACACCTTCTCTCTCTGTCTCTTTAAGCAAGGCAAATAACAGTACAATATTAAATAACACTACACTATTAAAATAATAACTGCAAAGTACCAGTTCCAAAGCAAACTTAGGAAATAGGCGGCTCTGCAAGGAGCAGGGGCTGGCAGACAGCATGTCCTGCCATCCTCCTGCTCCCATAGAGGAAATAAATGAAGACAAGTTTCCAAAGGATACTTATCGCATTTCCACTCTAGGTTAATGCTGGGGGATGGAGAAGAAGGACAGACTGGTGGTACAACCCCGTAGGTTGACTTTCCCTAGGAAACCCAGTGTGATGGCAGATGCTTGCAGTATTCAAAGCAGGCTACAGAGGTTTTCACATTAGGCAGAGGTTTTTAAATCTGGTCTCCCCCTCAGGCAGATTCACTTTCTTGTGCTTGAACTTCTCAAGGCAGAACAGATCGATAAAAATTATACTCTTCACCATCTGATCTGCAGTTGCTATTTCAGGTGCCACAGCACCTGTCTTTGCAACTACATCTGGGAGAGATTTTTCTTCCACAAGCGAATTTTTAGGATAAGACATCTCATAATTACTCATTTCACTATTCTGTTAAATAATCTGTAAGAGCACGAAAAAACAGTGTGCTCTATGACTAGAGGAAGCAGTTTATCATGCATTAAGTTATATTTACACATTCTGCCAATCTCTGTAGTACACAATGAACATAGCTCTGAGTCATGGGATCATCTGTCAGCAGCCATGGCAGAATTGAAGGCACTTTCAGAAATTAAAGATAATTCCCTTCAACTAAATATGGTTAAAGGTGTCTCCAGCCAAATGGAGAATAACGTAGGTATGGATTTACCACATTTACAAGGTAGAAACTAAAAGTTCTTACTTTATTCCAAACACACAATATTCATTAGTAACTGCAATAAAGTTTTGCATGTAATCCATTTAGTGATGGCTTCTAGCTCAGTATATTACATATTTATTGTTTGTTTTCATTGCAATATCCAGAAAACCATTTATGTGTTTAAATGCTGCTACTTACTCTTAAAGCTTTTCTTTTCTAAATAGCTGTAAGCAAATACAAGATATCATCACTGAGCTTAATAATAGAAATGAAATGGTCCAGTGAGCTGAAATACAAGGAATATTTTACTATGGAGATTGCAGATTTAGGAGCTTTCGCCATAATGCCTTCATATCTGAATATGGAAACAGATCCATTCTTTTTTTTTTGATCTCTCTTTTTAAAAACCTTAGTGTATATGAGAACATACATTGCTGCAGCAGGTATAAGCATGGATGTGCATTCTCCTAGTTGATACTCTCCACCTGGAGGACCCAGGTGATGCCCTCCGGGAGCCTTCCCCAGGCAGACCCATCCGCACATCTGCACACCGCCCAGTCCCACCCCAGTACCGGACACATGTACACAGCCTTGTATGGCAACTCGTTTGGAGTCTCACTTGGCTACATGCTTGTCCTCATTTCTCCTCTCCTCCCCCTTGCTGCCAGCTGGGAAGGAGCTGAAGCCTTGATTCACGACCAGTATTGACTCCCCCTGTCTGCCCTCTTCCCATATGCCAGCGCAGCTCCCGAGTGTAATTACGACCCTCATCTCTCAACGACTGTCCCCATGAGATACAAGAGGGACCCATGGAGCCCTCCGGAGCCACCCTTACAGGGAAGAAGCAGTACAGAGGTTCAGCGGGGTGTGAAAGGTCCCCCAGGACAAGGCCGCCTGCTGGATTTGCCCTCGGAGCCACAGCTTCAGTTTAAGAGAATGGTGTTCACGCAGAGCCACCAGTTCTTCCTCTACAGTGCTCTGCCTCTGAGGATGATTCCTGCCTCAACACTAGTGCTGACCACTCCGTGCCATCATCTGCCACACCTTTCCCAACCCCATACAAGCTAGTGAGGAGTCTGCATTAGGCTCTTTCCCACCCACTGCTGGCAAAACAGACACCACAGTGGGGTGATGGGGCAATTAATCTGGAGCTCCCCCACTACTCATATTTCTCACGACTGTGGCTGCATAGATGGTACATCCCTATCTCTTTGCATAGTCAGATCAAACTGCTTGTTTTCTGTAAAGCCAGTCCACTACAACCAACAACCTTGCTTCCTTGAAGAGACTGTTTGCAGGTGTTTTTCTGGGCTAGAATACAGACAAGAGAAAATCCCAGTGTGAAGGTTAATGTGGAATTCCTCCTGAGACACTAATATAAACCAATGCACATTTCTTCTACCAGGCTATTTAAAAGATGTCGAGCACACAGATGCCGCTCTCTTCTGCTCTGACTAGTGAGCCATACCAGGCAGAAAGAGCATTCCCAATGGCATAAAAGATGAAGGGTTTGCTTCTAGAGTAGTATCTCTGGAGACACGACATGTCCATCTTATGACAACCACTAGCCTCCTGTAGTCCCAGTTGTTGTTAGGCACGATTACTTTATATTCGAAGCTAAGCAGAAGGCAAATACACCCAAACCACCACCATTTCAACAGAGATCACAGTACCTAAAATAGCCACCACCTCGTCGTCCTGGATGACTTCTAGGGATCCTGAGACCACAAAGCAAAGTGCATCAACACTTTCTCCAGCATGATAGATGAGGTCCCCCGGGGCGCAATGGATCGTCTGAAACTCCACAGCCAGGGCTCGCAGGCAGCCATCACTAGCCAGCCGGAAGGCAGGGTGCTCATTAAAAACCTTCCGGTTTAGGTGCACGCAAATATCTGCTCTCATGTCCTTTGGGCAAATTGAGAGAACCTGAATAAAAGAAAAGTGAAAATTAATCAGCTGGGAACATGACACTGGGCCAGTGCATGCTTTATGAAATAACTGGATGGATGCATCTTCAGATCTGCCTGGGCAGAACTTAAGATCCATCCACCCAGTTATTTCATACAGCTTCTGGTGGGAGTATTATCTTGAATTGGGGTAGTCTTTTTCTACCCGTCTACTGCTTTCACTGCAGGTGAAAGGGTGATGTGGAAGAAGGGACTATTCTGTTACACTGTTCTCATTCCTAACACTTTTCACACTTGTTTTCCAGAACTGCAGGTGGCACTACTATGTCCCGTTTGTGGATATCCCTACAGACTTGGTGCCCAGCCTATCTGCCCACTGCTATGCTCAGTCCCTGCAGGAGCACAGAACGGACGCTCAGAGCTGAAGGAGCTTGAAGACACGCAAAGATGGACCATTCACAATAGAAAACACCACATTTTGCTCACATCCAAAAAACCTAGTCTTCAGAAGTCTTGATGTAGGTAAACCACTTACCGACGTGTATCCAAACACACCTAGGGTTTAGTTTCAGTGGCGTACAGACATAAGGTAAGTAACCTGCCCTGGAGGGCTCACAGACTAGAAAATCCAAAGATCTTGAGATTAGAGCATAAAGAAAGTATTATGAAACCTTATGAAATGTAAAGGTGAGTGAAAAACTGTCCTGTGAACATGAAGATGCCTCCATAGCAGATCAATGAAATAAGATCTTCAATCAATTTCTTACCTTTCCCTAAAGAAATAGTAACACAAATACACCTGAAGAAAGAAAGTGAAAATCTGTGGGTCTTGCTGGGTTTATAAACTCTGTTTAATATTTGCACATCCTCCTAAACACACTAATGTCCTTATAACTCTAAAATGCATAGTAGCTAATTGCACTGAGAAACATATAAAACCTTTTAAAGTCTTCCTAGGATAAATAATAGAAAAGAGCATGAGATGAAGAGCACTCTGGAAGTCTCACACAAAGAAGACTGCAGATCAATAGTACTGATTCATTTCTCATCGTATGGAATTAATCTGGCAGCCTGCTCTGCAGACAGTGTGAGAGACAGGGACATTGGGTCAACGTGTTGACTACCACTGAATATTAGCAAACAGAGGGAGAGTCTGGTAACCCTGATTAAGCTCTGAGGCAAATGGTCATGTTAATATTGAAATAAAGCCACGATTCTAATTTCTGTTTAATGCAGAAGAGGTATAAAATGTATTATTGCAAAGTATTACTAAAGCTCCTAAACCACAGAATGGGAAAATAGTAAATAATTTCTAGTTTAATAATAACATTTCTTCCCTTTCTTATTTCAATAAATCAAAATTCCTTTGTCGTCAAAAATATAACGAATGCAAAAATGTGAAGTTATTCTCCTATCCTCTGTACTATGACAGTCTGAGGCTAGCAGGGGCTATTGCAACCATCTGTACTAACCTCTTGCACTCATAATTTTCATATCAATCCCAGAACACTTGGTAAAATTATAGCCTAGAAGGTCTTCATTTCATGCTTTTAAATGATATAGGGCAGTTGTTCCAATGGACAGCTACTCTCTTTCCTAAAACATGTGCTGTTTCTAAACTGCTTTTTTTAAAATTTTCAGCCAACAGCCAGTGGATCTTGTGTTGCTCAGACAAAACACCTGCAATCATCGGAAATCTCTTCACATGTAGGTGTTTATAGAATATGATCAAGTCATCTCTTGGTCTCATCTTGAATAAACAAGAGACGATGCTTCTTGTGCCTAACACTCTGAAGCACAGTATCTCCTTGGAAAATTCCCCATAGCATGAGGCTTTTTCACTTACAATCACCTTCCCAGATCTACCAGTTAATTATTTTTCATTTGATTTGATACAGACTGAGTCAATTTTGCTTAATGCTATTTTTCCATAACAAAATGTTGGACAGAACATACTAGAACACCCTACATGAGTCTGTTTTATCATAAAAATTAATAATAAACACATTTGACAAGACACACTCTCCACAAACCATCATTTGCATTAGTAATGATGTCTTGTCTGAGTCGCTGTTGACCATATCCTGTATCACATTTCCATAATTTCATTAGGGGCATATGTCAATATTACAAACTTATACTTACCTGAGTCATTCCATCTACCATTAGAAATATGGACACACCTTAATTTTTTCTAGTAAAAAAGAAAAATTAATTCTGACAGTGATTGTTTCACCTCAGCCCTGCTTCTAGATCAAACAGAAAACTCACCTTTATTATAATAAAACAGAAACAAGCCATCTCTCTTCTTCTCAATAGTAGTTTAATGAAAAATTCTGCTTTCTTTTGTATCATGATTGATGATTTTTAACAGTTTTATCTACTCTTGGGTCTAAATCATGGTTAGATGCTTTTTACGCCCCTTTAATACCCTCAGTAACCTAAGTGCTTTTGACTTAACAAGGCCATGAGCTATGAATTCCCAAACACTGCTCTTAAGAAAAATCTGTCTATTCATACATGACTGATTTCCAAATTTTGTCTTTTAAGCTTCCAAACCACAGGAAAAATAGTTGAAGAATTTCTTAAATGTATCAAAAAAAATTATTTAAACTATTGCAGAGGTTGTTAATGTAACACTCTGAGGTGTTCCAGGACCCTTTGGTTTCTGGAGTGTAAATGAACCGTGTCCCTCAAGAATAAAAGCCACCTGGATGAAAAGCAGCATATTGTTTCCTCACAAATACAGAGTTAAATACAGAATAATAAAAGTGAGCATTCACAGCATTACTCTTTTTATAGATACAACAAGCATATCTATCATCACATACTGTAATATGAAGAGACAGAAAAAAATCCTGTCGCACAGAAAAAGCAGTCTTAGAAAGCATAATACAGGAATTTACTGATGTCAAGATAAAGTGATTCTCCTAATGACATATTACTGCATGGAGATATCACTTATCAGCTAGTACAGCAGTAAATGAGTAATGATCCAAGAGTTATCTAGGAACAAATATTCTTTATTTCAGTTTTCTTGTCTGCTACACTGAAAGTACTTAGAACAGAAAATGAAACAGATGACAACTAAAAGAAATACTTAATATTAAAAGATTTGGAAAGGAGCTTTGACTGATTAAGATAAATGTAGACAAATGTAGGGGGAAAAAAGAGCAAAGATAGACAATGTCAATATTCAGCTATGTGTTTACTGTATGCTCCAAGCACAGGACATCACGAGCTCCAGCTCGACTGCATCGACTTTGCAGCACTTCTTTTTTGTGTTTACAGATCCCAATGTCACAAACTGAGAAGTGTCACAGATGCCACCAGCTTCTCTATTAGTTGTACTGTGGAAAGGGGTTGTTGGTGACACAGATTACCACAGGTAGTAATTTTCGTGCTTCCAAAGAAGACACATAATGTGATACAGGATCACACAAAAGCATTTGGAAGCTAATGACAAATAGTCCAAAGATACTAAGAGCAGAAAATGAGAAAATAGGCACTTCAAATTCAGATAAACATCCTTCTGAAAATGACCCCTTATTGATAACACAAGACTTCAACATTCTCACTGCGAAATGCTCTTACTGAGAGCATTTTTAAGGCAGCATGCAACTAAAAAGATACACACTAGTAGCAATGTGGTTGTACGTGAGTCCGTAAGGTGTACAAATGTACACACGTGGGTGTAAAAGAGAAATTCCATTTAAGGGAGCAGATATGCTGTAATGCTCCATCTCTTGTTTCACTGTTAGGGAAATGCCTCCAGCACTTCATGTTAGCAGAACCAAAGTTCAGCTGGGACATTTGTTCTAGTCAGTGTATGCTTTCAGCAGCGTATCAAAAACCACCAAGACAAATTTCTGAAGAGGAAATTTCCTTAGAGGTTTCAAGACCTTTCTCAGTGAAACCTGCAGTTTATATGCAAGGCAGGATATTAAGGTTGCTGACTGCAATGCTTTGCTAAGTGATGGCTTTGGAGCACATGACTTGGAGTAGGCAGTCTGCAGGGACCAGATGCTTGCGCTGCTACAGAAGTTGCTCTGTAATAAATCTGTAGCCACAGACTTCGCAGTCAGCTTTCCCATACGCATCCAAGCAGAGTGAAAGACCAGAACTTAATACATTTCAATGCAAAATCAGAGAAGAAAGTCAGATTCTACCCCGAGGAAAATCTTCGCTGGCTGCATAAGCTGTGTTTCTGCCAGAAAAGGAGCAAGGCTCCATGTCACACATGAACAGTACACATGTATCCACAAAGACCTGAACCACTACAAAGCTGAGAGAGGAGAAAGTAAAGCATGGAATAACATTTATCACTTCCCTTCTCTGCACAAAAAATTAAACCTTCTCAAAGTCAGTAGAAGGCAATGGCTGAGCTCTGCCATCACCACCCTCTGCTGACTGGCACCCAACCGATACAAACTCCAACACAATGACACCCAATGCAGAGTATCAACACCACTGTCATCTCTAGAGCACCCTGTGGCATATGTAAAATGCTGGCAGTGAGTCAAACGCTTGTGGTTGCTGCTAAAGACTGGGACAGGCAGTAACCAGCTCTGGAAGACTCACAAGGAATTGAGACAAAACATCTCACTGTCTTTTCAGCTCAAGATCGTTAAGTGGGCACTAAAATTCCCAAGGAGGTTTCATCTGATTTTTTTTCCTCTCCCACCTGTTTCCTCAGCACGCTCAGGCAGTTTAAGATGAGCCCCTTGAACAGCTCAAAGAACTCTACGGGGAGTAGAGATTACAAAGAACTCAAAGAAAAGCAAATGAATGGAAACAAAACCTGTACAAATTGAGAGTGTGTCCAAACAGTATCTTTTAGGAAGAGTTTAAATATTTTAAAAAAACCTTCCCCAGCTGGAAAACACTACAGGATGGCTTAGCTAATATTACAGAATCTGTTAAAACTTTTTAACAGAAAGGGCAGAGGCCAGTGAATCACGAACACTATCAATTTGCAATTCTCTTTCAGCACACAGGATTCTCACTTTCTTGGGGTTA